ATATAATTTTGGTAGATTATTTGTTGAACTACATTTTGTATGGGACCATGACAATAGTTGTGATTAATCTAAATTGATTCGATAGTAAAATATTATACCCTAAATTTTTTTATACCACTCATTTCTGTCGTATCGCACCTCTATTATCACCCTCTACCATTTCTCTCCATTGTCTTTTCTCCGTCGACGACTTCAACTCTGGTATATTCTAGCGACTCCAACACGGTAAATCAGGTTGATCTCCCTTTTTCTCTCCCCTTCTTTCTCTTCTCTGACCTTTCTCACACTCAAAATCTCTCATAGTTCAAGATTTTCTCAGAATTTTGTGGTTAATTATTTAGGGTTGTTTAATTTTGATGATAAACTTAGGATTTCATTAATCCTTTTGTAATGTTAAATCTTGATTTTTGTGAACCAATTCTCAGTTGTCAGTACTTGAATTTTTAGTATTAGTAATCATATTGACTGTGAAATAATTGGGCTACTCTGTTGATATTGAATCTCTTTATAATGTTGAATATTGATTTTTGTGAACCAATTATCAGTATTCAGTGCTTGATTTTTTAGTGTTAGATACCATGTTGATTGTGAAATAATTGAGCTATTTTGTTGATATTTTCCTAAAGTAGTTTGTATTTTGTACTGTACGTATTTGTTGTTTGATGCTAACATTTCACTGCCCTAATTATCTTCATTTCTATGGTTGAAAAAACTAATGCGGTGTCATGTCTTCTTTATTTTTTATTCAAGGAATTGCTATTATTGATGTTAATTGTCCAGCTGATGCAGATTATGGGAGTTGAAGGACCTATGTGGCGTGGGGAGAGAGGGTTGTGAAGTGCTTGAAAGTATTTTTTTTTTTGCATATGTAAGTATCATTGTGTTATTTTCGGTAAAATATCAAATTCAATTGCCATAATAGTTTATTTGGAATTCTAGATGCCAAATTGGGCTATTACTCTTTTTTTTTCTTTTAAATGTTTGATGATTTTTACAAATATCTGAAATCAATTGAACCAATTATCTTGATATGTTTTAGTTTTGCTTTGATTTTTGGACTTTTGTTATAGTAGTTTTTATATGGCGTTTATATAGATGTCAATTAAATGCATGCATTTTGGAATTGGGGGTTGGAATTTTTTATATGCAAATTTATATGGATAAAGGCGACCATTCTTCGATTGTTGATATTATGTTGGTGAGGTGGTTAGAATTGAGGTGATATTGAGTTCGATAAATAGTTTGGGTCGTGTTTACTTAAAATTCATGTGTTGTTTAACAATAAGCAAGTTTGTTTGTCATAGAACACCTAAGGAGTGAACAAATACATGCAATGTGAAATTTTGAAAGCCCACTGTATGTTTCATAGTTTGTTTTGTTTACTGTAGTTTAACGAACCACTCATAAACCATGTCATGCAAGGTCAATAGTTTATTTGTTCAATAATTAGCACTTTATAAAATGTGGACGGTGCAATTAGCATTTTATAGATTTTTTATATTAGGTGATATTTTATTTGGGTCATGTTTTTGGAAAAATTATGTCCAAGTTTTTTAAAAGAACAAATAAAAATTGTTTAGATTAAATATTTATGATTTTTTGTNTGTACTGTACGTATTTGTTGTTTGATGCTAACATTTCACTGCCCTAATTATCTTCATTTCTATGGTTGAAAAAACTAATGCGGTGTCATGTCTTCTTTATTTTTTATTCAAGGAATTGCTATTATTGATGTTAATTGTCCAGCTGATGCAGATTATGGGAGTTGAAGGACCTATGTGGCGTGGGGAGAGAGGGTTGTGAAGTGCTTGAAAGTATTTTTTTTTTTGCATATGTAAGTATCATTGTGTTATTTTCGGTAAAATATCAAATTCAATTGCCATAATAGTTTATTTGGAATTCTAGATGCCAAATTGGGCTATTACTCTTTTTTTTTCTTTTAAATGTTTGATGATTTTTACAAATATCTGAAATCAATTGAACCAATTATCTTGATATGTTTTAGTTTTGCTTTGATTTTTGGACTTTTGTTATAGTAGTTTTTATATGGCGTTTATATAGATGTCAATTAAATGCATGCATTTTGGAATTGGGGGTTGGAATTTTTTATATGCAAATTTATATGGATAAAGGTGACCATTCTTCGATTGTTGATATTATGTTGGTGAGGTGGTTAGAATTGAGGTGATATTGAGTTCGATAAATAGTTTGGGTCGTGTTTACTTAAAATTCATGTGTTGTTTAACAATAAGCAAGTTTGTTTGTCGTAGAACACCTAAGGAGTGAACAAATACATGCAATGTGAAATTCTGAAAGCCCACTGTATTTTTCATAGTTTGTTTTGTTTACTGTAGTTTAACGAACCACTCATAAACCATGTCATGCAAGGTCAATAGTTTATTTGTTCAATAATTAGCACTTTATAAAATGTGGACGGTGCAATTAGCATTTTATAGATTTTTTATATTAGGTGATATTTTATTTGGGTCATGTTTTTGGAAAAATTATGTCCAAGTTTTTTAAAAGAACAAATAAAAATTGTTTAGATTAAATATTTATGATTTTTTGTTTAGCATAATATAGTGCCTCCAAGCACAGACATTTTTTCAAATGACCCCAGTTTGCAAAATCTCTGTAAGTTGGCTTTTAGGTAAATATTTCTGGGCACTACTATTAGTTATAATTAGGTATATAGTTTCAAACATATGAACTTCATGTGTTGTTAGTTTAAATTATGGGACTTTGATTATTAAAATTAAGTTTTCTCCATTTCTTTATTAAAATTTGTCTTCACAAGAATTTTTATATAGATAATACTTTTTGAGCATGTATGTTAAGTGTGGGCGTGTTAAGTATGCAGTTTAGGCTTCTAGCTTGGTAAGTTTTCATGTTCTTTTTTTGATTTTTTTTGTGTCTACGATCAATGTTCAATTTTTTTTAATTATACAGTACCTTCAGGCACGGGTTATCGCTAGTTGATTAAAAATGCATGGCCGGAAAATCAAATCCAATCCAGATTTTTTTTTGGTAATACTTTTATCAATGCAATGAAAGAGCCATCATTAAAGCTTTGGTTGGAGTGGTGTGTAGAGATGCTGGTGGGGTTCTCATTGATGGGGTTTCCTTCCCAATTCCAGCAGTCTCCTGCCTTTTTCTGAAGCTGCTGCAGTTCGTGAAGCTTGCCTCATGGCTCTAACTCTGAACCTTCATTGAGCTATAATTGAAAGTGACAACCAAACCCTCATTTTTCTGTGCACAAGAGAAGATGTACGCCCATGGAAAATAGCTGCCTTCATAGAAGACATCAAGACCATTACTATAGTCTTAAATCTTAATTTCAGATATGAATCTCGAGTTACCAATATGGTGGCTCATTAGACGGCCAAGGTTAGATTTTACCATCCCTTACCTCAGGATTGGGTGGTGAACCCACTTGAGCTTAAGGACCTGCCTTTTTTTTTTTTTTGTAATCAATCCTTTGTCAGTTGAATGAAAATCTCTTTTTCTAATCAAAAAAAAATGGGAGGGGGGTGTCAACACTACTTTAGTTGCTTCAATATTCCATTTCTGTTAAACAACTTTTTACTTCAAAAGTTTAAGTTTTTTTAATAATTAGGGTGACGACAAGTTTCAAATATAAAACCTCCTGCTCAGATACTGGTGTAACTTAAGTATTTATATTATAATAATTTACGTTTTGTAATGCCATGTCAATGACTCATTCTATATTAGGGTTAATTTCACTAGATATCTCTAAAGCATAGAGTTTGTCTCATTTTTATTCTCAATATTTCAATTATATCATTTTAGTCCTTAAATTATTGATTATATTTTTATGTGCAGTGATTCCTCAAGCAGACAGCGTTCAGATTACTAATAATTTTTTATTATAAATTTATGACGTAATATCTAAATATGAGCAAAAATTAATTTGAATAAATCTTTACCAAATTTTCATCCAAATTTTGGTCAAAAAACTACCAAAATTACACAATTTTGATCATGAGCTATCCAAATTATTTTTTGTCTATATTTAGGTATTACATTACAAGTTTATGATAACAAAACTATTAGGAATTTAGATATTATCTCCTCGAGGGATTACGTAGAAACCTATTTAATACTTTAGAAATCAAAATAATACAATTAAAATATGGGGCTTAGGGAGGCCGGTACCTCCCAAAAAACTAAATAAGATAAAAGTACATTTTTTAAAATAATTGGGATAGAAGTACATATGCTAAAAAAAAGTCATAAAAGCCCTTTTACCTCTACCATAAATAATGCATACCTAATTAAAAAATAGACTTTCAAAATTAGAATATGAGACTTTCAAGATTTCTTTTAATATTTGTGTATCATTTGAATTTTGAAATTTCATATATCTATACATATATATGAAATTTCAAAATTTAAATGATAAACAAATATCACACACGTAATACAGTGACATCAAACAGTGACACGCTCAATAAAAAAATGATAATTTCAAACAGTGACACACTCAAAAAAAAAAAAAAAACATCAAACAGTAACACACTCAACAAAAAAATAGTAACATCAAACAATAATATACTCAACAAAAATATAGTAACATCAAACGGTAACACACTGTTTGTTGTTACTCTTTTTTTATTAAACTTGTCACTGTTAGATGTTACTATTTTTTATTGAACGTGTCACTGTTTAATGTCACTGTATTACGTGTATGTGTGTGTGAAATTTCAAAATCAAATGATACATAAATATCAAAATGAATCTTGAAAGTCTCACATTCAAGTAGGTATGCACTATTTATGGTAGGGGTAATTATGAAATACATTTTAGAAAGAATTTGAAAATGTTTTAAAATTTGTACTTATTGACAACTATTTAATGAAAAAGAGAACTTAAAGGAGGATAAGTTTAGAGGTGATACTTAAAGCCAAATAAANTTGTACTTATTGACAACTATTTAATGAAAAAGAGAACTTAAAGGAGGATAAGTTTAGAGGTGATACTTAAAGCCAAATAAATTTTAGAAAAGATACTCACATCCCATTATCTCTTCAAATATTTAAGACCACAATAAGATAAACTCTATATATTTTGAGACCACTAATAGAATTAACCTTCTATGAACAAAGAAGGGGCTCCCACATTATATATAGCCCATCTTTCAGCGCTTAGGTTACCTCTCTCTTTCNCCTTCTATGAACAAAGAAGGGGCTCCCACATTATATATAGCCCATCTTTCAGCGCTTAGGTTACCTCTCTCTTTCTCACCCCTTTCCTTCTCCCTCTGTGTGTAAATGAGCAGTATTGGTACTCTTCAATTCCGTTGACTTGTATAGACTTTGTTTATATCCACTCTTCAACACCTTTCTGAGAAGAAAGATAGTGCCATCATCATTAATCATCAAACATGTCGGTCAATATAACCTCCATAAAAACATTCTCCAATGGAATTTGGCAAGGTGATAATCCCCTAGATTTTGCATTTCCTTTGTTGATTGTACAAACCACTTTGGTTTTCGTTGTCAGTCGCCTCCTTGCCTTCCTTCTCAAACCCCTCCGGCAACCCAAAGTCATTGCAGAGATTCTGGTATGTTTGTTTCCACCCCTTCTCATATTATGTTTTGATAATTCCAAGAAAAATATAGAAAAATATATATTATCGTATATTCAGTGCATAAGACTGGAGAATATTATGGGGTCTGAATTAGATGTATGCAACGTTACCCTTACAAACATAGATACAAATTCATACTAAAAAATTCAAATTCAAGTCTAATAATGTCTCTTGTTCGGGATTGTGCCCTCTTTCTAACTTCTGTTCACTTCTCTGTAAATGCAATATTTCGACATTATACTAATTGATTATTCATTGTAATAGAGATATCACGATTTCTATGAGTTATATTCTTTTATTGAATGATAAAATTTGATTCAGGGTGGAATTCTTATGGGGCCATCAGCTTTTGGAAGAAACCAAGAATACATGCGCCGAATATTTCCAAAATGGAGCACACCAATCCTCGAATCGCTGGCAAGCATTGGTCTCCTCTTCTTCCTCTTCCTAGTAGGTCTTGAGCTCGATCTCAGCTCACTCCGCCGGAGTGGCCGAAGAGCTTTAGGCATAGCGGTCGCCGGAATTTCTCTCCCCTTCATCCTCGGCAATATCGTCGCCTTCGTCCTACGAAAAACCATCGACGGAGCTGATAAAGTCGGCTATATCCAATACATAGTCTTCATGGGGGTTGCTTTATCCATCACAGCCTTCCCAGTTCTTGCGCGCATTCTAGCCGAACTTAAATTATTGACCACTCGTGTGGGTGAGACCGCCATGGCCGCCGCCGCTCTCAACGACCTCGCCGCCTGGATCTTGCTCGCCCTCGCCATCTCCTTAACCGGAAACGGCTCAGGTGGGACCCACAAGAGCCCATTGATAGCTATATGGGTTTTGCTCTCAGGTGTTGCGTTTGTTGCTTTCATGATGGTTTTCATCAGGCCAGCCATGAAGTGGGTGGCTCGTCAATGCTCGCCGGAGCACGACACCGTCAACGAAGCCTATATATGCTTAACCCTGGTTGGAGTAATGGTGTCCGGGTTAATAACTGACCTTATTGGAATCCATGCAATCTTTGGTGCGTTTGTTTTCGGATTAACGATACCTAAAGGCGGTGAATTTGCTCAGAGATTGATAGAGAGGATTGAGGACTTTGTGACTGGTCTGTTGCTTCCATTGTACTTTGCTTCAAGTGGGTTGAAAACGAATATATCTAAAATAAATGGAGTGGAGGCGTGGGGGTTGCTGGTGCTGGTTATCAC